ATACAGGTTTCTGCTGTCAGATCTACACTGCAGATTTGCATTCAGTGTTCTGTACTCATCTCCTGGCACACTCATAGTGATCTCAGTGGGAATTCTGTGCACTAGAGCAGTGGTCCCCAAACTTTTTTGATTGTGCACCCCTATCTATATAAATAGAAGTTGTAATATTTTCTTCCTGCACCCCAACGGATCATCTTGCGCACCCCCTGGGTTGCGCACACCCCACTTTGGAAGCCACTGACCTAGAGGGTGTCAGGGATTCTGATCAAGCAGGCCTAGCTTGAGTTACCACACCTTCCCTCATTCCTGGCTAAAGAGATTGCCCCAGTTCTCTGCAGCCAGACTGGCTCCTCCTAAACATATCTGCAGCCTCAGTCTGTATTGATAAGCCCCATGTTCACTGCTCTCCCAACTTCTGACTTGAGTTTTGCCTAACCCTGACCTTGGATCTCCCCTGAATCTCGGTGCTGGCCCTATTCTCTGGTTTTCCTGGCATCCTGATTTGGCTTGGCTTCTTTGACCCTGATCTGAGCTCCTCCCTGGAACTTGGCACCCCAGCTCCTAACCTTGGTTTTCAGAGAATCAGAAAATTAGGGCTGGAAGGGACCTCAGGAGGTCATCTAGTCCAACACCCTGCTCAAAGCAGGTCCATCCCCAATTAGATCATCCCAGCCAAAGCTGTCTAGTTGAGTCTTAAAAACCTCCAAGGATGGAAAGTCCATAACCTCTCTGAGTAACCTGTTCCGGTGTTTTATGACTCTCCTAGTGAGAAAATTCTTCCTAATATCTAACCTAAACTTCCCTTGCTGCAACTTGAGACTGTTGCTCCTTGTTCCATCATCAGCCACCACTGTGAACAATGTAGCTCCATTCTGTTTGATCCACCATTCAGGTAATTGAAGGCTGCTGTTAAATCCCCTCTCAATCTTCTCTTCTCTAGACTAAATAAGCCCAGTTCCCTCAGTCTTTCCTCATAAATCATGTGCCCCAGCTCTCTCACCATTTTCATTGCCCTCCACTGGACTCTCTTCACATTCAAACAGAAAGGTCCACATCCTTTCTGTAATGGGGGCCCAAAACTTAACACAGTACTCCAGACATGGCTTCACCAGTGCCAAATAGAGGGGAATAATCACTTCCCTTGACCTGCTGGCAACACACCTACCAATGCAGCTCTGTATGCTGTTAGCCTTCTTGGCAACAAAGGCACATTGTTGGCTCATATTCAGCTTATTGTCCACTGTAAGCCCTTAGGTCCTTTTCTGCAGAGCTGCTGCCCAGCCAGTCAGCCCCCATTCTTCCATCCTAAGTGCAGGACTTTGTGCTTGTCTTTGTTGAATCTCATGAGATTTCTCTAGGCCCAATCCTCCAATTTTTCTAGGTCACTCTGAATTCTAGCCTTACCCTCCAGCGTACCTACTACAGTATAACTTGATAAATCCGGTGTGCTCAGGACCGAGCACCTGCCAGAAACGTGAACTTTCCAGATTTTTGAAACTAGAGCGGCAGCTGGTCCAGGAACAGCGGCTGCATGCAGAGCAGCGGTGGATGGCAGTGGGAGCTGCCATGTGCAAGCTTCTCCCTTTGGCTGCTGGTACTCCCCGATGTAGTTTATTTTTAAAAAAGTGCCAGATTTTCAAGAATTCCAGATTTTTGATATCCGGATTTATGAGGTTATATTCCCCCCAGCTTGGTGTGATCTTGGACTAGATTCACAGACTGTAAGGCTGGAAAGGACCTCAGAAGATCATCAGGTCCAGCCCCCAGCACTAGGCATGAAAGACAACTGGGGGTCAGATGACCCTGGAAAGGTGACAGTCTAGTCTCCTCTTGAAGATTTCCACAGCAGGAGATTGAACCACTTCTGGAGGAAGCTTATTCCACTCCATCTCTCAGATCTCCCCTCTTGGCTCCCCTGGAACTTGGTCCCATAATCTCCACTCTGCCAACCCAGAGCCTGACCTGATGCTCCCAGAGCAATAACCTGTGTTCCCACCCCACTGACCTCCTATTTTCCCCTTAGGGCCTATGCACAGGCACAGCCACCTATGTCCTGACTGAATTCTCACAGAGGGAGATCACCAGTGTCAATCAGAGAGAGTATTGCTCTTAGTCTCATTTCAAAGAACTGCACACTTGGGCTGGCAATCACTTGGGCTGGAGGCCCGCTTAGGGAGTTTTGGTGAGCTGTTGTGGGTCAGGTCAGCACACTCCTCTCCCCACCCTGCCTACAGTAGCTCACCAAAACTCCCTAACTGTCTCTGCCCCATACTTGGCCAGCTGGATGGGATGGGGCTATAGGCAAATGGCATTCGAGAGTGGGACAAGCAAGCTGGACCAGGATCGAGACTGAGATCATGGGGCTGTGACAGCGCAGGAATGGGGCCCAGGGCAGCACTCCCCACATGACATTGCAATGGGTGCTGGTTCCCCAGGCAGGGGTGTGCAGGGAGCAGATTGCAGCTTTGCCCTGGGCTGTGCGCTATCATGGGTCTGCAACTTTGATTTTGGCCCCAGTCCAACCCCTCCCTGCCTGCCTACAGCCCCATCCCACCTGAGCCAGTCTCCATGGAGACCTTGTCCAACCACTCCACCAGGTGCCCCGGTGGTGGGTGTGGGGTGGACAGGCCAGGGTATTCAGGCAGTGGGCCCAGGTCCAGTGTTGGAGCCTGGCAGCAGCAGTTGGAAGAAGCAACCACTACAGGGGCTGCCAGGAAGCGAGTCCAACACCTACACCATCCCAGCCCTGCTGTGTGCCCAGGAGTCTTAGGACCAGCTCCGTGTGGCACAGCCTGGGCTGCCCCATGTACCTGGGCTGGGTAGGCTAGAGACCTGCCATGGGCCAGATAAAATACCTTGGTGGGCTGGATCTGGCCCATAGGCTGTATTTTTACCCACCTGGGGCTAGAGTCTGATCCCTGACTGGCTGATCTGTTTTTTTTTTATTGTGGGAGAGCATGGGTAACCCAAAGCTGCCTGCAATGTCCAGCTGCCCCAGGCTGGGGCTCCAAAGACCTGCACACCCTGAGAATTCCTGGGCAGAATTGGGCCCCTTAAAGTCTGGGAACACCTGCCTCACTTTTCCTGCTCACCCAGATGTGTCCCAGAGATCTACTGGGAGATGTGTCTTGGTAAGCAGGTAAAGTTGTGATTTCTCTGCTTACCCCGATACATTCCTGGGGTCTCCATGGTGTCTCTGGGTAAGTGCAGAACTACAGGGCTTCACCCCAACATGGGGCACATGTCTGTAAGTGAGTATTCCCTTCCTGCTGACATGTGCCAGGGGAACCCTTCTACAGGGGATTTCTCTGGCATGCAGCTGAAAATGGAGAAGGGGGACCCCTAATGAGAGTTCTTCCCCATGCTTGCAGATGCACACCAGTGAAATCCCTTGCAGAAGGATTCCTCCGGTGTGCATAGCTGCGCCCTGGCATGGGATGCATGCTTGCAGGCAGGGAAGGGGAACTGCTATGGAAGTTCCCCCATTTGTGCTTGCAGATATCCACTGGGGAAATCCCCTGCAAGAGATTCCCCCACTCTCCAACACAGGCAGGCATGTCTGCAAGCAGGGGAAATCCATGTCTGTAATCAGGGTATGGCACCTGGCAAGGTCTGTAGACATCTATGTAGAGCACAATCAGCTCTGCTGCAACATGTTGTGGCACAGTATGCTCCACAGACAATGTCTGATTCCAGCCTGAGAGAGCTGGGGAAAGAGAAAAGGTTGTCTTAGAGCAGAAAGGGAGCTGGAGGACAGAGAAAAGTCTTAGGGAGGATAGAGTAGTGAGAACAGAATAGTCCCAGGGAGGACAGACAGTCTGAGGAAGGACAGAAGGAACAGGAATGGCATAATAAGGACTGTTACTTTGGAGAGGAATTGTCTACTGTGTTGTTTGGGATGTTGGCATTTCAACACTACCTTGACATCCTTGAAGAAGAAAATACCACCCCCACCCTCCCCAGGAGCCGACTAAGACAAAGTTGCTCTTTGAAGTGGGGGTTCTGCATCACAAAAAGTTCAAAAAGACCATAATAGGTCAGAATATTTTTTACACTACGGATTCCTACTTGAAATCTCTGGATTTATCTTGCTATGGTGTGTAGGTGCTTGCACACCTAATGGTGTGAATACTGTGTGGTACCCTAACCTTGTTTGGCTACAGTGCCATGGTGCTCCAGTTAAGAATTGCTGTTTTAGAGTAATGATACCGAGAGTCACATCATTTGCATCACCTTAGAATGAGCCCACATTTAAAACATTTCACCCAAAGAAAAAAGATCATGGAGCTAATTTGAATATTTCTGTTGACCAGATCCTTTTATTGAAAGGCATACCATTTAAAATTAAGTCTTTGATAGCTAGGTTCTTCTATGAGCCAAAGTCTGTCTGTAAAAATACAAAGCAAAAGCAACAGCATTTTTCCTAAGTATACTAGCTTTTGCTGTTCTGGGAAGTAGACCCATCTTTGGATCATCATTCACTTCAGTTCTCAAATTATATTTAAACAAACCAAAAGAAAAGTAGAAGAAAACAATCTGGATGTGGAATCTCTCTCTGGAACCAGAAGTGTTTATCTTTATTCTGATAGCTTAACTAGAGGCGAGTGAGAATGGCATCAGACCTAGGCATGAGAATGGTGGCTTCTGCCCGCTCAGCTGCCACCACTGTCTATGGCACAAAAATTGCTTATTATACTTCTGCTTTGCTTCTTTTTTTATAGTCTTCAAGATCCAACAGGAATAATTTTGGTGCTTAAAATTTAGGAAGTGCTTCCATTCATTCCTGACTAGGGATGGGATTACTCACTTGCTTAAAATTCAGCAAGTGCTTAAGTGCTTTGCTGAAGTGAGGCCTAAATTCTGACCTGTGAAAGCTCTGTAAAGAGCTTGCAGTTCAGCCATGAACTGTTATATGAGTTATACATGCTGAGCACAGAGTGACAGCTGAAATCAGGAATGGCACTCACAACCTATACTCTCATCCTTTAGTTAGAACTTACCCATCTCTCCCCAGGAAAAGGGGTTGATCCCACCTGTTGTACAGTTGTACACCATCATGTTTTTTGGTCTGTAAAATAAAAGGATGTAGAGAAAGAAGCAAATTAAAAATGATGACAAAATAGAAACAATTATCCTGAAAGGCAAGGGGATGGGAGCAAAATTTTAACTGTAATATTTTAGTATTCAGGACTTCTTTTTAGTTTCACTGACTTTAATGGGCTTCTAAGATGTAAATATGAGCAGTAGTTAGCCCTATGTAATTTAATCTAAGCTAAATAAATAACAGCTAGGAAAATATCTTTTAACAATACCTTACACATACGTAGGGTCTTTCATCCTCAACGCAACATACACAATCCGGCACTAAGGAAATGCAGCCATTTCTGTGGTGGAAGGGGACAACCAGCCAGGGGAATGTCTACAATAGCAGGTTGATAGCATATGTTGCTCAAGAATGCCAGACCCTCTGACTGACTTCAGTGTGAGTTAGGTACCTATCTCTTTTCCATAAAACCCATTTGAAAATCCCACAAAATCTACTCTTTAGATGGCTAAATATAATTCAAAATTGTGCCCCGAAATGCATGATTTTAAAAAGTATATAGCATCCTAATTTCAATGGATTTCAAGGAATCTAAATAGCCTTAAAAAATTGAAGCCTAAATGCCTTAGTTACTTTTGTAAAATGGACTTAGAACCTTTGAAAATGTTATTTTCAGTCTTTAATGAAAAATCTGAAGAGAGGACACAATCTTACCTTTTACATGACATTCAATGATCTGCACTTTAATTGTTCAGTATAGAATCAATGACCATATTAACAAAAGCATATCATAGTAAACAAGAAAAGGTTTAAATATAACTTAGATTAAATAGTTGTTACGGCAAAAATAGTTTAAAAAAACCACACAGTGCCTTATTAAGAGCATGACATTATCAACTCATAAAATAATGACCTTAGAAGGGTTTGTTCTATGTAGAAATGCAAAGTACAGTTAAAAATTAGGTTTAAATCAAAGCCAGCCAGAAAATCTACACAGCAGTTAAAAAAAGCTGGAATTAAGAAATAATAAATTTGGCTTGTCATAAGTTATCTATATTTCAGTAATTTAAACTGTAAAACAGTAAATAGAAGTTTTAATATTGTAACAAATGGGGACCTATATTCCCTGCGGAGCCCATAGGACCCCCAGCAGACCCCAACAGGGGCAACCAAAAAGCCTGTGAAAGCAGGGAGTACTCACCTTCAAGATAGGAGCAGCAGCGGTGCGCGCTGGTGCTGCATTTTAAAAGCTCCCTGTCAATCAATCTTGGCATCACCCGGCTGATGATGTCAGCCTGTAGTGCCGCCATGGGACATTTAGCATGAGTAGAGGTGGAACTGCCTCCAAAGTTGCAGGGCGTGGGGCAGGAATGGTCTTGGAGCACTGAGGCACATCAGTGCTGGATCTGTAAGGGCTCATCAAGCAGAGCATAGGAGGCTCCGTTAAGATGAAGGCTGAGGAGTGGTGCCTTCATCCATTCCTTGAACTATCTTTTCTACAGAGCTTAGATGACTGAAGGCCAGGAGGAACACTGGGCTCAGACTGAAGCAACACCTCCAGAGTGGAGGCTTTCTTGGTTTTGTTTCCTCTTTTTTTCTTTGTTTCTTTTCATTATTATAAATGGTCCAGTGAGGATGCAAAGGCCAGGACAGACCCAGCTCTTTATCACTGGCCCACTACAAAAAGTAACTCTTTATGTACAGGGCTCAGGGACTGACCTAAAGAGGGCTTAGAAAGAAATCCACCACGATTCCTCTAGATCAGGACTGGACCTGGTCAGAGTATTGCATCATATCAAGACACCTCAACAATGAGGGCTGGTGTGTGGCTGGGGAAATAGGGGAGGTGGAGCCCCAAGGTCAACTGCTCCTCAAACCGCAAGTACCCAGAGCGGGAACTTCTTCATTTACACCACTGAACCCTTCTTTCGAATTTGTTTCCACCAAGGCAGAGATGGAATGAGGACTAGCTTCCCAGATTAAGGACAATAAGAAGTCCTTCTTTAAATACATAGGGGGTAAAAAGAAGGTTCCGGGTAACGTGG